TTTTTGGTTGCGGTTATTATTTTATTTTATTTTATTTTAGTTGCTGTTATTATTTTTTTTGTTTCTGTACATCATATCATATATATGATAGCCTTCTTCATTGATTTGTAGTCATCCTTTTTTGTTTTGTTTTGTGTTTTCCTTCTTTATCAATGTACAATATCTATATATATCTAGTTCATGCCAAAACAAAAAGGAAAAAAATTATCTTCATATATATATTTTTTTCTTATGAACTAATTAGAACTCTAAATATCCCTTCCTTTTTACGAAACGTGAAATTTAAATGTTGTCCAATTGTTTAAAAAAAAAAACTGTCCAAAAAAAAAAACTGAATTTTAAAAAGGGTTTCTTCGTTATTGATAATTTGGTCAAGTGACATGTACAAATTTAGGGGTATGGATTGGTTCTCTAATACATAAGACAATTGTCTAATTTAATGGATTAAGTATCAAAATTGTTAAACCATGATAGTTAGTTCAGTTTAATTGATATTACTTTCTAGTTTTGACCACGGATTGGCTTTAATTATCTATTAAGTAGTGATGAGTAGCTTATAATACTTTACTATTACTACTATTTATGAATAAACTAGTGTAGACCCACACACTAGTGGCTTTTCCATTTCACATCTAAGTAATTCCAATTACCCACCCCATGTATACCAAATCCACTAATGTCTCCTCCTCTTATAGATGAATAAACTACCAACAAGTACAAGGTAGCTAGAGACACAATCTCAATAATGAAAATGGCCAATCACCCTTCCATGCTAACCATGGCCTGCTTCCTCCTCCTAGTCACTACCACCACGAACCAATCGTCTGCGGCGGCCGCTCGAAGCCTAGACAATTCAACCCCAACGCACCCTCACCACAACCATCACGAAATCACGTTCCTAATGCGAGATGTGCTTAATGTGACTCACCCCTCATCCAAGTCCAAACCTGCAACAACTAAAGTAACTAGTCAGCTGCCCTTCTCAAAGCCATTAGGCTTGTTTCCTCCAAATGGAGGAATCCCCCTCCCTGAAACCAATCCCACTACACAATCCCTAGATTTACCCGGCATCGGACTATTTTTCCCAGCTAGGGCAACACTTCAAGAACTGGAGTTCGGGATTGTAACCCTGATTGATGAGGACATGTTTGAAAGTTCAGGGTTTTACGGCTCACAAGTGATTGGAAAAGCACAAGGGATATATGTTGCAAGCTCTGAAGATGGTAGCAGTCACATGATGGCCTTGACTGCATATTTTGCTGATAGTGAATTTAAGGATGGATTAAGATTCTTCGGGGTGCATCGGACGGATGTGCATGAAGGGTCTCATATTGCTGTAATTGGTGGCATTGGGAAGTATGTGGGTGCAAATGGCTATGCAACAGTTAAGGCAGAAAATGCAGGGGAAGAAGGCAACAAGCTTCTTAGGCTCAAAGTTTATCTCAGCTAGTACTAGTAGGAACCTTGTTAGGTAAAAGTCATGCAGATCATATATATGAGATCATTAAATTGTTATGTTCTCAAAGAACTGTTATAATTGTAGATTTCTGGTTTATCAGATTTCAAAGAACTTTACAAACAGACATCCTTTCAATTATGAAACAACTACTTTTTTCCAATGAACTTGGTTTTGTAAATCGACTCAGCTGTATTTGGGTTTATATAGGATCTTTATTGGGCTAAAATTAACTGTACTAAACTTATTTTTGGTGGATGAAAAGGTCGTGCAGATTGTAACAGAGATTAAATATGAGATGTTGGAACCTGAGCAGGCAAAGTTTATACTCGGCCAATCCAACTTTTGTTCCAATGATTTTCAGTGCAAAATGCATGGGATAATCAAAGTAATAATTAAAAGCTTCAATGATTAGAAACCAACATTATTATTAACACCTCATGCTATCAAATGAAGTTGTGCAGTTTTCTGTTCAAGTATGACACCAGATGATGAGCAATGTCCCAGTTTCAAACTTAATTTGATGAAAAGTCTACCATAACTCAACTTAACATAACCTTGATCAGTTATAGTAACATAATGAACTTGATGCAGGCCTTGATTACTCAAAGAATCAGTAGAATTACGACTCTTGAAAGAGCACATATGGGTTTCGTTTTCCGCAGCCTATGATTATGCTACGGAGTACGGACGCTGAATAACCTTTCATTACAAACAATTTCCAGGTTCCAAAGAATCACATTCCCTAGTTCTGAAGACAAAAACCCACCTGTCACAGACATCTTGCGACAGAAGATTATATACACATACAAATAGTTTTTCCAGACCTGAAATTGGTATTTATGTTTACTGTTTTACCATTTGCATATGGTATGGTTTTACTTACTGTAAATGATCTCTGGGTAAATCTGCACTAGTTTATCACTCAGGTCATGCCAAAACTAGAGGCTGTAGTGGATGGCACCTAATCATTCTCATACCAGTACCATCTCAAGTTCTTAGCTACTAAAAAAAACAAGTACCAATTCCATTTGATATGGGAGTTGGTTTTCCAACCAAAGACACCCTGCAAAATAAAGGGTGCAACAACTCCATCACTTTAAGAGACTCTAGGAAACTATATATATTGCAACACAGAACGTTTCATTCATCAAGCACAACTCACTGAAATCCAATACATTCTCTCAAGAGCCAAGACTCAATACAATTCATTCCTTCAAAATCCATTGAACATGGCCAAGTCTCTTTTATCCACCTCCAAGCCGCTCAAGGCCACACTTTACATATTGGTCCTAGCCATCATCCTTGGACATGCCAACTCAGCTAGGATCCTTGATGAGGCACTTCCTGAAGCGTCCAATCCTCTCCCAACACCTGTCCCCACCTCAAATCCTCAGACAAATCCCACTACCTCATTGCCAAGTGGCCAAATTCCCACCATCGCCCCCACAACCACAACCGTTGATGACACGGAGGATGATGCTGACTCGCCAATTCCAGAGACTGATGTGGCACCACCAGTAGTCCCTCCTGTCACCACTGTACCAGAAGCTGATTCACCACAACCCGAGACTGAGGAACCTGCCACCGTGCCAGCACCCATTGCTGACGTAGCCCCTGTTGCTGGGGTGGCACCCGGTGTAGGTCCTGCTGTCACATCACCAAGTACCCCAATCCCAGTCACCACACCCGTGGCAGGTCCTATCCCCACATCACCAACTGGACCCACCACCCCAACCGCCGCCGCTGCCAGCGCTACTGTGGCAAAACCCGGCGCGGAAAACCCACATTTGTCCTTCTTCATGCACGACATTCTAGGAGGATCACACCCATCAGTCAGAGTGGTCACTGGCCTGGTAGCCAACACAGTTTTCAACCCCGCTTTCTCCAAGGCCAACAACAACATCTTCCCAGTCAGCGGCGGGACCCCGTTGACCAACAACAACATAAACGGCTTCCTCAACAATAACAACATCCCAGGCATCGCAGGCCTCACCGGCCTCACCAACTCACAGAGCAGCACAGTGATCCAGAACAGCGGCAACAACAACGTCGTCAGTGGCGGCAGCAACCAACCCTTCGTCACGGCGGGCCAGCTGCCGACTGGAACCACTCTCCAGAAGCTCATGTTTGGCTCGGTGACGGTGATCGACGACGAGCTGACCGAAGGACACGAGCTCGGTTCTGCCGTGCTTGGAAAGGCACAAGGTTTTTACTTGGCAAGCTCGTTGGACGGGAACAGTCACACCATGGCTTTCACTGTGTTGTTGCATGGCGCACACGATGAGGTGGAGGACACCATAAGCTTGTTTGGGGTCCACCGTACTGCCTCCCCTGTTTCTCACATTGCTGTGATTGGTGGGACCGGGAAGTACGAGATGGCTACTGGGTATGCGGCCATTGAGAGCCTTCATCAGGAGGACCAGCACACGACTGATGGCGTGGACACTATAATGCAGATCAGTGTTTACCTCTCTGAGTAGTTGGGTTTGTGTGTGGGAGTTTTATTTAGCAGTTGCCTGTTGTGAGCTTGAAAATGTCAATGTGTAATTTGATGTATCTTTTTAATGTATCTTTAATTGAATGAAAAATGAAAACTTTCTGTTAAAAAGCTCTGGGTTTTCTATCTTATGATTCTTATCAGACTTTGTTTCTTGCTTATTTAAACAAAGATCAAAGTGAATGTGCAGGGACCCTGTTTTTCTTTGATCCAACCAAAGCTGAATCCCACCATGGGATTTGGTCTATAACCCAACAGTTGATGTTTTTCAATTGCATAATATGAATTAGCTCCTCTGCATTTTTGGTTCAAATTGACAAATGGAGAGCAGAGATTTGTTTGAGTTACAAGGTAGTTGTTTGATGGGAGAAATGAATTGGTGATGCAAAGCCAGGCGCAAAGCCCTGCAAAGGTTAAACATAATCTGAGATTCTAGACCACGCTAAGTTCTCCCTTTTCAAAGGTTCATCATTGATAAATTTGATATGAACTGATTTTTCTGTACTAAAAAGTTAAGACTATTTCTTCATCTTGGTCAAGAAAGCCTGCACATGATTTGTTTTTTCATAATTTCAGCCGTCAACAATGTTGCTGGACCAACATTTGATATTGAAATTTTGTTATAAGATTCGTAAGATTCAGCCCTCGTAGCACCCTTTAAGCGTTTGTTGTTTGTAAACGTTGCGAATCCCACATCGGCTGAACTAAACAAGTAGGGAAGTGAATGGGCCTATAAAATAAGGAACAAGAGAAGAGAATAAGCATACCTTTCTCGGCCTTTTGGCTAAGATCAAGTGTAGTATCTGTTCTTATCAGTTTAATATCTGATACGTGGGCCAATGGCCCACACGATATTAAATTAATTTCTTTAGGGGGAGGGCCCACTACAGTAGCTTGCTACTGGGGTCCTCGCGCGTCGCCCAAGCGTTGCACTACTGCATGGGCCTGGCGCACCCCACCAAATCAAGTTTAAAATTGACTCGGTAAATATGCAAAGCTGAAAGTAGTCCGGAAATAAAATGCAATCATTTTTACTGTGAAATCACATACAAATTACAGAGCAAATTTTTACTGCTCCTTTTGGGATTCTAAAACAAACTTGAAATACAAATGCTGCTCAATCAATCACAGAAATTAGTAAGTGAGATAAACTGTGAATTGCAGCAGAGTCTCTGCCCCATCAGTTTGCTGATTGGAAGCAGGGAAGGTCTTGACTATGGCAAAACCTTTGGCATTCACATACTTGCCAGTGCCACCCATGATGGCCAAATGAGACTCTGATACAGCCGTCCGATGAACCCCAAAGAAGCTCAGGCTATCGGCATAGCTCCCGCTTTCGAACATAGCCGTGAACCCCATAGTCTGGCTGGTACCATCTTCAGAGCTCACCACATAGAAACCTTGTGCCTTCCCAACCAAACCAGAGCTAAGCTCATGCCCTTCAGTCAGCTCATCGTCAAACACACTCATGGTGCCAAACATGAGATTTTGGAGCACGGAGCCTGGCTGGAGCTGTCCACTGTTTATCGGGAAGTTTCCGAACCCGCCATTGATCCCGTTGTTTTGTGCCACATTTGATGTTGTTCCACTTAGCCCTGTGAGAAAAGGGATGTTGTTGTTGTTGTTCTGGGGTACCCCGTTGTTGTAAGGTAGGACTGCCCCATTGGGTTTGGCAAATGGCAGTTGGCCATTGGCTGCAGGGCTGTTGACTATCCCGGTCATGGCTCGAGCCGTGGGGTTCGATCCTCCGAGGATGTCGTGCATGAAGAACATTAAGGTATGTTGATCAGCAACATTAGCATTGATGATAGGTGTCTCGTCTGTATTGGACGCCAATGGAGGGACTACAGGAACTGGTAGCTGCTCCTCCTCGAGAGTTCGTGCTGATGTGGCAGAGAAAATGGTGAGTGTGAGAAAGAGTAGGTAGGCTGTGACAGAGAAAATTTTGTGAGCTTCCATTTGATTAAGAGAGGGGACTAAAATATGGGAGTTGAAATATTTTGTTCTTTCTGTTTTGGGTTATGGATTGAAGGGTGTTGTGTGGATGTATGTATAGATTGAGATTTTGAAAGGAGTTGGTCAGATGGAGTTGGTGTTAATCTTTCCTGTTTAGTGTTTTGGTTTAGGCGCCTAAGAAGTAAGACCCTAAAGTGAAGAGGAATGGTTTGGATATGGACAGAGGTTTAGGTAACCTAAGAAAGATCCTTGCTTTCACAAGGCTTGGAATCTTTGATATATCCTAGTAATTAGCCACACAATTTCAGGGATATTGGCTTCTAATATTGATTCGTCTATAATTTTATGTTGAGCTTTCAATATGGTTATCAAATTCTTCTATCTGGCCAATGCTTTAAACATATGCATAGACAGATCCATAATGGAATGCCTTCTATCAGGGCAATGCTTGATACCAAATCTGTCGAGCGAGTAAGTAGTTTTCGCTCAAATTACTGCAAAGTACTGAATTAGAGAGAGAAGCTCAAATTGCACCACATCTTAATTTCACTCATGTATGAAAAAATTGAGTCTGTACATATATCCTTTTCAAACCCTTTCACTTGATCAAAACTGTTGCTACATACACAAAAATATCTTTGTCTAACTTGTACACAAAATTATTCTACCAAAAAAATAATCACTAGTGTTTAAGAAACAAACTCCGTTACAAGCTCATCAATCAAGAATCTCTCTATTTCTGTACCAATACTGTCAATATCATCTCCCAAGTCTAACTCCATTTCGCTTCCTAGCACCTTTTCTGCCAAGTCATTTCTTGTTTCCTTCTCTTTGCTAACAAGCAACATCCACAAATCTTCCTCTATCATCTCCTGGCCTGCCCTGGATCTAATCCTTCTTGATACAGGCTTTGTCCATGCGGGAACACCCATACATGGCTGGAGAATCTCCATTAGCCCTGCATCTATACGGTCAAACAATAGCCTCCTGTCTGACCTTTTCCATGCCATTTGATCACCAAACTTCTTCTCCAGGGTCTCAAAGACAGAAAGGCTTACTGGCCATTCCGGAGAGTGCCAGGTACCAAAGTCCATGGTTGAGTGCCTATCATATAAACCTATCTCTGATAACACATCAACAAGGTAGGAAAAGTCTCTACTTTCTTCAACTCTGAACAGTCTCATTAAATCCTCATTTTCTCTGTAATTGCTGGCTGATCCTTCATTAGTATCATCATCACTTGACACAACTCCAGATCCTTCCGAGTATGTATCAGAGTACTCTGATTTCAAAAATGCGAGTTGCACATACAAGTTTAGTATGGAAATATATTGCAAATCAAATCATCTTCAAAAGCATGAAGAAATAAAATTAAGTTGATAATTTAGAAATAGATCTTCTAGTCAACTCACCACCGATGTCAACATTGAGCTTTCCCAGGTATTCTGGTGGAGGTGACCTCTCTCCTCTAAATGGTGGTTCCAGAACTGAAACTGGACTAGGCTGATAAGCCTCCTCCAAGCTCATCATACAATCCAGCTGTGTGGTGGAGCAGTGCAAAAGAAAAGAACTTTCTTTGTAAGATATTTCCTGCAATTTTACAATAGTTTAGAAGAAAGTGTCACATGACAGTATTGATATCATGAATAACCAAGCAACGAGTAATTTATTTTTCTTAAAGATATGGATTATCACAGTAAACTGATACAATAAACAAACCATATAGAAAAGCTTTGACCAAATAAAGAATACGGAAGGGGCATTGGGAGGGTAGAACTATCACCACTGTGCAGCCCAGCAATATGGACAAGGGACTACCTATATTCTAAAGAAAGAAACACCAAACCTGTTGAACTGAAGTATCAGTGACGTGAAGGAAAGAATCATCTTTTTTGTCTACAGAGATGCAGGCTCTGGCTCCAGATTGCCACTTCTCAGAATTTCTTGAAGCCTTTTCTACCGCGTGATTGCCTTTTGATTCCAGGCCAGGAAAAGATTGGAATTTCTTACAGATGGATCTCAACTTTATAGGTCTAAAACCATCATTCTGGTTGAATCTGTACTCCCTTGACTTATGCTGCCCCAATTTAATAGACCCTTTCCTCCTGAAATTCCACTCATTGCAAAGAGCTTCATATTTATCTTGATGTGTTCTAAACTTACTAAGATCTAAGTTTTTAATGTCACGCGTAACAAGCTTTCTTTTTGGTTGAAAATGCCTACCAAGCTTGTAATCCAATTTTCTTGGCCCTGTTTTGTGGCCAGGCATGGAAAGCAAATTCCCAAGGGTAGTGCCTCTGCCAGCCATTCCTATTTCTTCACACTCTTTAGTCATCTTCCCTTGTTCTGAAAGCTGCTTCCTGGCTTCCTTGGCTACATATGACTCATCTGAATAAGAAAAGGACTGCTCTCTCAAGGAAGGAGGCCTCATCAATTCAGATTCCACTACAATGGAGTTGCAACCTCTGGATCCTAACCATGACACCTTTGTATCAATGTTGGTTTTGTTGCACCCAGTATCTATGCCAAGCTTCCCCATTATTTCCCTAGAAACTTTTGACCTTAAGCTTATTGGTTCCATGTCATATGCCAAGTTCTTCCTTTCTTTTACTGGAACATGTATTTTCCCACTACCAAGACTAGGAAACTCCGTGCACTTGCTATCACTGGAATGAGAAACATCGAGGGAACTCAAAGAAGGGAAACATCTTGCAGAATTCTCAGCCTTTCCATGCTTCGGTCTCAAAACAACAATTCTAGTAAGGGGAGAGCATCCTTCTTTGTTTAACTCCAATTGAGATCTTGAAAACTTACGTAAATTATAAAGACCAGTTTCTCCAAGGGATTCTGCACCAATCCCACTCTCAAGTTTTTGAAGTAAAGTAACATTTGGCTGTTCATGTTTCCTCCCTGATTTCCTACATAAATCAACATTTCCAGTGCCAGAAGTACATGATGACTTCGAGACTGTTGTGTTCCCAAATAGTGAGTTAGAAGGGGAAACTTGCAGATTATCCAGATGCTTGTTAAACAAAGAATTGCCCCATGGGAGACATTTCGGGAAATGATCATCCTCATAATCCATCATTTCTGGTGATACTTGGAATCCGTTCTGCGTTGTAAATTCCATCTTTGCTTCTGAGAAACCTGTGTATGTTTTTCCCTTTTGAACTGACAGGTTATCAAGCTTGTCTGCTTTTAAAGTATCTACTACTTCAAAAACATCTTGAAATTCTTTCCAGTCTACTTTCAACCTGAATGAATGACGCTTCTCTCTGACACCAATGGAAGCAACTTTGTGTAGGTAATTATCAGACAGCACTCTTCTTTGTTTTTGGACAGGTGGCTGAGGGGGAGATTCATCTTCCAGACCCATTAAGTTTGCTATAACACTTGGTGTACCTGGTGCAGATTCCATTTCTGTCAAGGATTCTTTGATCTATACAGGCACTGTGTGCACTTTACTTTCTAGTAAATGCAGGAATGTATCTGCACAAAATCAGAGAATGCTTGCTTGGTGAAGAAGGGAAAAGAATATAACACAAATATCCCAAGGATTTTTTTTTTTGGAAATCCGTACAAGAATATAGCAAAATAAGAGTTGCTTACTGTATCTTACTCTGCAGTCCTGCTGCAGCTATGGCAAATAGCAGATGGTAAAATTGGAGGATTTCCAGCTTTCTAGACCCCCCTGTTGCCTGCAAATGATTCTACAATACTTCAATAAATATGCAATAGGATTGTAAACATAAACGAAAACCAAATCAAATAAATAAACCAAATTACAAAGCGTTAACACCACAAAGAAAAACACTTTGATGAGAGAAAAAAAAGGCTATTCTTCTCTTTTCCAGATAATACCCTTCCAATCATTTTGAAAACAAAAAAGAAAAGGGCACACCTTATAAAACCCAAAAACAACAAAAAGAAAAAAGATTCAGTGAACCCCTTTTGAGACGTCCAAGCATCTATACGATCATTAAACGAATTTCTCGAGACCTAGTAGATACAGAACAATAAAGTTTGAAGCAGAGACCAAATTATTAACACTTCTTTTGGTATGCAATCATTGGAACAACAAAGAAACAAGCTCAAGTAAATTAAGTAAATGGAACACAACATCATCATTGCAATTTTAGACCTGTAAACTTCAAAACGCACACTGCCATAATATGATATGATCATAGCAACTACAAAAACAACAACAACCACCTCAACTTTGAAACAAAAGACAAAACTAAATCATTTAGATGCCACCATCACAAAGCAATAAGCATCACTACGAAAATCCATTGAAAACAAAACCATCTTTGACAAAACCACACGCAATATCAAAACCCAACATGAATTGTGAATTTTTATCTCTCTATTAATAAAGCCCATGAATAAGAAAAACCCCAGAAAATGAAAACTCATGAATTAATAAAAGGATCAAAGGCTTACCTTTCTAATATTGGTCAGGTACCCATAATTTAATTCCTCCACCAAAAGCAACAATCTTTATACAACTCGCTTCATTGTTAGATTATAATTTAATGAAGTAATAACTTCAGCAGCCACATTCTGGGTTTTCGATTATAAATCAACCAAGAAAATGACACGCCGGTATATCCGCAAATCTGGGTCAACAAAATAACTTTTTAAAAAGAAAGTCAAAAGTGTAGCAAATTTTGTATTTTTGGGCACGGAAATGGTTGAAGCATAAAATCTGGGAAATGGGTTTTGGATTTAATCCTTGGATCAAGAAATGAAGCGAAGAATCAGTCTTGGGCTCTGAAGTAGTAAACAAGAAATGATTGGGACTGTAGAATACAGAGAGGCAAAGGTGGCGTTGTTTGGCTTTGGCTTTCGTGGGGGGGTGGGGGATCGTTTTTTTGTATTTGTTTTGTCGTTCTTGGAAATATTACCCAATTATTTAATTGTCCTGCTTGCGTGACTCCCGCCACAAGGATATGGTTTTTTATGAGGATTTGATGAGAGCTTTCAAACTTTTACTAAGAGCAGGCATGGAGGATCTGTATGGGTTGATTTTGTAGCAAAATAGGGGGTGGAAATAGAGGAAATATTTGTACATATATGCGGTAAGTCAATGCATATGATTGCATGGGAAATTGGTTTTGAGGTTTGACTTTTACTAGGGTCTAGGGCCTACGACCTAGGGGGTCAGGTGCTCCTGGGTTTTTGGAGATTGGGGAAAAAGTGGGTTGGGTTTATTACTGGATTACTATAAGGCTTGGGCCTGCTAGATTGTGGAACAAAATTTGGTCCAAAATAAGCCAATCTTAAAATAAAAATTGACATGGGCTTGACCAGCTGCAGGTCAACTACATTATACTTGTGTACAATTTTAGGTCTATCACATGCAAGAATTCTATAGTGAGAGCCTTACATGATACTTCAGCATGGACACTGTTAGGTCAATTGCATGATAAAGTAAGGTTATCTTGTGCTTAGATTTAGAAGATGATATTTAAGGGGTGGATAAGATACATATTTATAAACGATAAGTTACATGTATGGGAGGAATTTTAAATAGAAAAATTATTTTTGATGAAGTATAGTCAAATTCTTACTGTGAGTATGGAGTAAATCCTCATACATATTCGAGGATTTACTCAATTGTTAAAGCGTTCAATGTGGCTTTTGAGGCTATTTCTCATTTTTGAGAAACACTTGTGTGAAACATGGATAATATTGTTTTTTTTATCCTCGATCAATCACAATATACCGCGCGTGATAACTTTTCAACGTGACAATTTGTGATTGACTGAAAATAGCAAAATAGTATATTTCTGATTCGCACAAGGTTTTTTTTTCCTTTCCCCATTCTCCCCTGTGGACAAAAGTATCCATTGAACATTAAAACGTGAGTGAGTGGTGGCCCCAAATTATTTGAAAAAGGAATGACACCATGATAGTAGGCAATATCAGAGTCATATCATATAAAAAGTCGGTTAATTGAGAGTGAGCATTCATATATGCTTTATCAAAAGTAAGAAATCATGAAGATTCAGTCACTTCCATATATGACTTTTTAATATTATTGGGGAGAAATATGTGGTAGAAATTGGATCGGTTAGAAATGCAAACAAATGATTCTATTAAATATGTTGACAAGTAAATAATCCAAAGGCTGGCTTGGATGTACCATCCATTACTTATGTTGCTCAACATTATTGTACTTAAGCTATTGCTATTGTTAGATATTCTCAAATCAAGCAAAAAAAAGCTTATACTTAAAAGATTAGGACAACATGCAAAAAAATCCCATATCATTTTTCTAATTTTCATCTAATATTCATAAAGTGGAAATAATTTAAAAAAAAATTAATTTCTTTTTATTTACTAGTTTAAATAACCTTCCATTTGGATAAGAGAAAATAACTCAGAATTTAACTAAAAGTCGGGAATTTAAGAGGAGAAATTGACAATTCCCTTGTTTGGCAACTTAAGCATGGAATTTATTAAATGATGCGCGGAAAAAATCATAGAAATTAGGGCATCAAATTCTTGAGTTTAATTTCCATCAAAATAGGCGTCATTTTACAATTTCCATAGTGCCATTTACAAAATTCGACATACATAAATCCAAACATTGAAATCTTCAATTGCCAGAAATTGAAATGATGGAAATCTAAATTCCATCATTTTAGAATTCTATGTAATTTTCAATTCCTTAATCCAAACGGCCAAACGGAGAGTAAAAGTTTTAAAAAAAAATTACATTGGGAGAATATTGTTATGTATTTGGTTAGAAATTAAATTTTGTCTAGAAATCTTTAATATAAAAAAAGAAAAAAAGGACATTCCGGTTACTAAAAAAAAAGGTGAGTGAAACGAGGGCCGCGTTATGAATGCAGCCAATGTTTCAGACCATGTTCATAAAAAAGAAAAAAACAATTTTTACGGGTTTTTTTTTGGCTGCAAATTTATGTTAATATAATTTGCTTTCGAAGTTCCCTTTTAAAAATATATATATATATATTCTTTCGAGGAGGTTCCACAATCTGTGGTTGATCGCTTGACACATAATCGACTGCTGAAAAAATCGAATGTCGTTGCCAAGCTAAAGGTTGCAGTTGGAGAATTCATTTCTTAATTAATGTTAATTTAGCCAATCACATTTCTTAAATAATTTGCCTTGAAAATATTAAAAGTCCTTTTGCTTTATTTACAAGTAAAAAAAGAAGAAGTTATATTTGATCTCAAAAATACTTTAGTGAAGAAATTTTTGGGTCAAACACCGACCAATGCGTTAATAAATACTCACAACTGCCTCGGCTCTTCCAGAACATAACCCATTTAGCTATCAGTTTTCCTATATTCTACTCCCTCACTCTCCTCTGCTTATCACAATGGCTATTGAGATTGCTGTCAAGGCTGCTGCTGGCGCCCCTGATGTTCTTGGCGACTGTGAGCTCACATTTCTCCTACCTTTTTTTCTTCGATTTTCTTTCTGGGTTTTGATTCAGTTTTTGTTAATTCGGAAAATTTTTGTTTTTGGGTTGATTGATAGGCCCTTTCTGCCAAAGGGTTCTTCTAACATTGGAAGAGAAGAAAGTAACTTACAAGTTTCACCTCATCACTCTCAGCGACAAACCCAAATGGTATTTTTCTATGTTCTAAATTTTTAAGCCAATAACCGCATCCGCATGCACGCAGAGATTCAAATGTTTGATTTTGATTTTGATTTTGATTTTGATTTTAATGGCTTGTGATGTGTTGTTTTGAGGGTTTGAGCAAATGGGTTTGTGGTTGATGTTGATGCTTTGTAGGTTTACCGAAGTGAATCCAGAGGGAAAGGTGCCTGTGGCGAAGTTCGATGACAAATGGTTGGCTGATTCTGACGTGATTGTTGGGATTATTGAGGAAAAATACCCTGAACCTTCTCTCAAAACTCCTCCTGAATTTGCTTCTGTGTATGATTTCTCTCTCTCTCTCTCAAACACATTTGGAACATACTTGTTCTCATGGATATTGTTATTTATGTGCAACTGTAGCCTCTTTTATCCTGTTGTATTACTTTGATTTAATTGATGTGTTTTGCCCTGAAAACGCCTGAGCAGTAACCTTTTAAGCGATTTATCTTTAACTTTCTTTCTTTTAGGTTGTCAAAAGGCAAATTAACTTTTATTGATATGTCCTGTTGGGTTGTTACGGTTTTCTTGACTGAAATTTGTGAAGTTCCCTTTGTTTCTGAATATTTTTGGAATTTTTTGGGTGAATTTTCAGGGGATCAAAGATATTTGGTTCATTCGTGACATTTTTTAAGAGCAAGGATCCCAGTGATGGGTCAGAACAGGCTTTGGTTAATGAGCTGAAGGCATTGGATGAGCATCTTAAGGCGCATGTATGCGTGTTTATATAAAGGAAAAACAACTCTTTTTCTGTCTAAAAAAGTTGTGTTCTTTGTATTTGCTTCAGAATATGCCGTAACATGTTTTGGATGAAAACAGAGTCCATATATTGCTGGGGAGAAGATCACTGCCGCAGATCTAAGCTTGGCACCAAAACTGTTCCATCTCAAGGTGGCCCTTGGCCATTTCAAGAAGTGGACTGTTCCTGAAGACTTGACCAGTTACTATAAGTACACTGAGGTATGCGGTTCTCGTGCATGATGTTGCCTACTTGGAGCGGTATATTTTCAGTAAATAGTTGTTTGGCATGTATGTTTTATAAGTGGGAGATAATTTTGTCTCAGTAAGTTGAAGCTCCTTTAGATTATTGGCTACATGGTTGTTCATCTTTTAGCTATGTGATCATTGTTAGAAGTTGTCATATGTTGAATTTGTCTATGTTAATTATGTTGTCTAGTAGTCAATTAATGTGGCTAGTAATAGTCAATTAATGTTTGGCACCTACTATGTTTGGCACCTACAATATTTGGGGGGCTTGACTAGTTTGGTTGCCTAATTAGTTTGGTTGCCTAACTTGGTTGGTTGCCTAACTTGGTTGGTTGCCTAACTTGGTTGGTTGCCTAACTTGGTTGGTTGCCTAACTTGGTTGGTTGCCTAACTTGGTTGGTTGCCTAACTTGGTTGGTTGCCTAACTTGGTTGGTTGCCTAACTTGGTTGGTTGCCTAACTTGGTTGGTTGCCTAACTTGGTTGGTTGCCTAACTTGGTTGGTTGCCTAACTTGGTTGGTTGCCTAACTTGGTTGGTTGCCTAACTTGGTTGGTTGCCTAACTTGGTTGGTTGCCTAACTTGGTTGGTTGCCTAACTTGGTTGGTTGCCTAACTTGGTTGGTTGCCTAACTTGGTTGGTTGCCTAACTTGGTTGGTTGCCTAACTTGGTTGGTTGCCTAACTTGGTTGGTTGCCTAACTTGGTTGGTTGCCTAACTTGGTTGGTTGCCTAACTTGGTTGGTTGCCTAACTTGGTTGGTTGCCTAACTTGGTTGGTTGCCTAACTTGGTTGGTTGCCTAACTTGGGGGGCTTGACTAATGTCTTAGGAACTTGTATATATATGTGTTGATTGTAAGTAATGAACATAAGTGAAAATCAGAAAATATTCAACAACTCTCATTCTCTCTACTCTTTCCACTTTCTTCTCTCAATATTCTCTATGTTTTGACATGGTATCAGAGCAGCGATCTTGCTGACTCTAGTCTTGAATTGTTGTTTCCATCATGGGAGAAGATGATTTTTCCCATGTTGAAAGTAGCACCACCGATCCTACTACTTTCACCGAATTTGCTGCTCAAATGGCTGAGTTGATGAAGATACAAGCATCAACATCGAATACGACCCCGACCCCGACCCCGACTATTACCTACGAAACCTCTCCTGCACAAATTGGCATTAAGTTGGATGGCTCCAACTATGCCTTATGGTCTCAAGTTATTGAGATGTATGTTGCTGGCAAGGATAAGCTGGGATATCTCACTGGTGAACTCCCAGCACCTTCTCAGACGGACTCGACATTCAACCGATGGCGAACAGAAAATGCAATCGTGAAAGGGTGGCTAATCAACTCCATGGAGCCAAGGTTAATTGGCAACTTCATTAGATTCTCGACGGCCAAAGGAGTTTGGGACGCAATAGCCACAACTTACTTTGATGGCTCTGACACCTCCCAGGTGTATGATCTTAAAAGACGAATCTCCCGTATGCGACAAGGGGGAGGTTCGATTGAAGCTTACTACAATGATCTCCAAGGCTTATGGCGAGAAATCGATTTTCGCCGTCCAAATGAGATGAAGTGCGAGTTGGATATCAAAAAATACTATGATATCATCCAAGAAGATCGAGTTTATATTTTCTTGGATGGTTTGGATGATCGACTAGACAAAGCCCGAAGTGATGTGCTCCAAATGAGTCCATTTCCTACAGTAGAGCAAGCTTATGCTCATGTTCGACGAGAAGATATCCGACAAACTGTGATGTTAGGAGCTCCAACACCAACCGGAGTAGGATTGGCAACAAAAGGAACATACCGACCCTCTCGCCCAATTCCAACTGCTCATCTCCAGCTACAGACAGCTGCCAATAAGACTACTCCACCTTCTCGACCCAAGGCTCCCACAGATGGGAGTGGTTGCACTCACTGCGGGAATCCAAAGCACACTCGAGAAACTTGTTTTAAACTACATGGTTATCCAGATTGGTGGGATGGTCTCAAGGCTCGTAAACTTGCTGCTGGAGGAACGGGTCGTGCTGCCCTTGTCACCTCGGATCCTCTGGTAACGTTAATTCCTCATGAAGAGTCTACCTCAACATCAGAAAAGGACTCTTCATCTTTCAGTAACTCAGGTAACTGTGGATATGTATTTCATACATCATATACAAGTGACTCCACAGGTTGGATTATTGATTCAGGAGCCACAGATCATATGACGTTTGATCCAACCGATTTTCTAAGCACAACCACACCACAACGAACAAGTATTGCCAACGCAAATGGTGTTACCTCTCCTGTGATTGGTGCTGGAACCATTGGCCTCTCTCCATCCCTTACTCTTCAAAATACTTTGCTTGTCCCATCGTTGTCTAATAAATTGATATCTGTTGGCCAAGCTACTGAGCAACTAAATTGTTGTGTACTCATGTATCCCGATTTTTGTTTATTTCAGGATATTCTCACCAAGGAGATCATTGGTCGTGGTACTAAGAGAGGGGGGTTGTACTATGTGGATGATTTCAGTATGGGAAGGGCACATAGTGTGAAGCACTCATCGACTTGGAAGGATCGACAACTTTGGTTATGGCACCGGCGTTTGGGGCATCCGTCTTTTGGCTATATGAGACATCTATTTCCAGATTTGTTTTCGAATTCCTGTACCACTGATTTCCAATGTGATACTTGTATCTTAGCCAAGAGTCACAGAGTCTCTTATCCATCAAGTACAAATAAAAGTGTTGCTCCATTTGCTTTGATACATTCTGATGTTTGGGGTCCTTCACCTATCTCTACAACTTCTGGCTTCCGGTGGTTTATCACCTTTGTAGATGATTGTACCCGCATGACTTGGCTCTTCATGATGAAAAATAAAACCGATGTATTCCATATATTTCAGTCATTTCACAAGCAAATTGAAACTCAATTCTCTACCAAGATTCAAGTCCTTCGTTCTGACAATGGGGGTGAATATATCAACCATGATTTTCAGACTTACTTCCAGATACATGGCATCATCCATGAGACCACTTGTCCTCAAACTCCCCAACAGAATGGTGTTGCGGAACGAAAAAACCGACACCTCCTTGAAACAGCACGAGCTCTTTTGATTGGCGCTCATGTTCCTCGCCACCATTGGGATGATGCTATAGTCAC